CCGCCCAGAGTCCTTCGGGAGTGGGGCGGCTTATAAATTTTAAAAATAAAAAATAAAATAATAAATAAAATAAGACATTTCCCTGAGTAAGAGATTTCTCTGTCCTGGAATACCAGGAGACATCACAGGTCAATCCTGCTTCTTAAATGTACAGGGTCAAGTCGTAATCACTGGGCTAATACCTGGGTTATTTTCCCCAGCTTTATGGACATAAATTTTTGGTCGTGATTTCTTGATTCCAGCATATTTTATATTGGCATGCACTTTATTTCCTCTCTACTAGTCTCATCTTTTCTTAATATTTTTTCTGTGGCAGAGTTCAAATTAGGGACTCCCTCACCGAAATAGATGAGCGCCCGTCCCCTTCCCCTGATCTCCTCCTTCTCTCCTTTCTTTCAGTTTTAAATGGACCATGAAAAATTACTTGTGGGGGTTACAGTATACAGTATACTATTAATGAGTTTTAAACAAGGTTAGTTTTATACAGGTAGTCCTTGACTTATGACCATAATTGAGCTCAACATTTCTGTTAAGTGAGACATTTTTAACTGAATTTTGCTCCATTTTACTACCTTTCTTGCCACAGTTATTAAGTGAATCACTGCAGTTGATAAGTTAATAATACGATTGTTGTGAAGCTGACTTTCCCATTGATTTTGCTTGTCAAAAGGTTGCGAAAGGTGATCACTTAACCTTGGGACACAGCAAAGGTCATAAGTATGAATCAGTTGCCAAGAATCTGAATTTTGATCACATGATCATGGAGCTGCTACAAAGGTCATAAGGGTGAAAATGGTCATAAATCACTTTTTCAGTGCTGTTGTAACTTTGAATGGTCACTAAATGGACTGTTGTAAGTCAAGAGCTACCTGTATTTTGTTTCATTCAGCTCTTTTTTATAGATTTTAAACAGCATTAGTTAACTTCTAGTTCATCTTAAAGATGGTCTGTGCTTAATTTCATAAGAGATTAATTTAATTTTCTAAATTTTATATCACTTTGGAGGTGCTTTCAGGAAGAATCAAAAATGTTTTAATAAAAAATAAGTAAGCAAATCCACACACTATAGATACTAATAGAATTCAGGGTTGAAATAGGACTCTAAATTATAGATACTGCTTGAAACACAAGCACCTTTTTGGGAACACAAATAATCAGTTGGGCACTAACTGATAGCATGTCATAGACTAACTGGATCAGAATTTGGGAAATACAGAATCCTACTCAGGTTCTCCTGTAAGTATGAAACACTTGCAAAATCCTTGCACCAGGAACTACTGGCAAAACTTTAGGTAATTATCTGTTCATTCCCTTTTGTCAAACGCAGAACAAGGCATATGGTAGGCAAAAGGTTTTGGGTTTTGTTTTTGTTTTTTTTAAAAAAAGGAAAAATAATAGCACTCCAAGCCCAAGTACACACAAAAACATGCAATCCCCACTCACCTGGTTACAATCTGCCTTCTCCCCACACTTCCACCACACCGCATAATCTATATCCGCCTGTGTTTAACATCACCTTGCTAAACCTGACTGCAAAGCCAGTCCCTACAAGACGTTCCATGGTAAGAAAACATCCTTGTAAAAAAAGAAACAAAAGAAACAACAACAGAAAGCTAGCCTAACCCCAGCAAACTCTCCAGGCTATAAAGAAGGTAAAAATAGGAGGGGGGGGGGGGGACAGAACATATGCAAGTAATATGTTTGATGTCCAGAGCAGAGGACTGGAATTTAGGACAGTGATTACCAGACTCTTGATCCATGGTATAAGTTAGGTATGCAAATTGCCCTCCCTCCCAAGCAATATTTTGGGAATATTGTTTGACTGAATTGAAAAAAAAAACCAGATGAAATGTTTTCAGAAGCTGGGCAGGAGATACTCTTTTTCTCTTTTGGAATAACTGCTGGCTGTAAGCATTTCCAGGAGGAATATCTGCAAGCAGTGTGAGGTGCAATTCTGTTGATGCCTGAGGGCATCAACAGAATTGCAATCGCATATTCAGTGCATTTTGTAACGGAAAGCCTGGCTGATTTGGCATGGCTGGCACAACTGTTCCACACCTTTGATTGTGTTCGCATGACATAGATGAGTAAGGGAGGATCCTTCCACCAAAGCAGCCCTGAGCATGTTTTTAATGAAAACTGCTCTAGTGTAATCTTGCAGTTGACTGGCTATTGCATGACATCATGTCACAGGTGTAATCAACTTAAGAGTGTTATACAAACACAGCTAGTGCATAGATACAATATGTGCAATTAATAACAGAAATGGGTTTCAAAAATTTGCTTGTGCTTTAAAATAAAAAAAAAGATCAAAATTATGGCATAATGCTTTTATGTGTAGGGAAGTGGGAAAGACAGCAGGCAGGAGGCCAGGCCATCTCTGCATGGGAGGGATAAAAAATATAGCCTCTGATCTGCTTCATTGTGTGATACGTGTAATATATCATGCTGTATTAATTGATTAGAACAGAACATACCAATTGGATTAATATTAGTTACAAAAATACCCTTTCAGAATATTCTGTACCAAATTTCATAATGGAAAATTTATGTAACAATAAAATCTGATAGTCTGAACTCTGGTTGTATTTACCCTTATCCCTTTCACGTAGAATTAAATTAAAAGGCAGCTGTGCTTTCAGTGTTTGTGAAGGAAATGGAGAATTACCGAAAGTGCTGATTGAGAGTAAAAAAGTGGATGCCAAATAATTCATGGAAAAATAAATATCACTTAGCTTGTTATTGGAATATATTCCTTGTTTGCATGAAACTACAAGCTTATATCTAATTGATATAATTTCATGGTTATTACATGAAGAAAATGGATTGATTCTAAAGGTGTAGGATAATTTCATTCAGTTTCCAGATTTTAATCAGTTAGAATAATGGATGTTAATAGAATGTTAATTTTCCTGAGGACATTATACAGTTTGTCAGGCATGTGGTTCATTAACAGAGCTGGAATTTGACACTAAAATAGATTTAATAATTTGCTAGAAATTAAAAGATTTTTCTTGATTCAAGCTGAAAAGACATTTTTTTCCCCAAGAGTGGCTATAATTAAATGCTTCTCTCACAGTGATTTCTTTATTGATTCAGCTGGTTTTCAAAATGGTTTAAAACTTGCAAAATATTTTTGATTAAAAATATCGTTAAGAGAAAAGTAGCAAATGGAAATAATGTATGAATCAGTTATTTTTAAAATTGATTATCCTGAAGTCTTTGGATTTATGACAGGACTGAGTTAAGATGGGCTAAAATAAAAATAATGTTTATTGGCAAGATTTTTCAGACTTATCTAACTATGTAATATTATTTTTATTTTGTATTTTCACTGCCTTAAGCTCAAAGTCATGTATTTAAGATAGGAGATATAAAATTGAATAATAAAATTATAGCAATTTTTTTCTTCAATTCTGTGGAGAAAGTATAAGAAAAAGTAACCAAAACTTATTGAAGGGTTGGAAAAACTGTCCCTATAAGGAAAGAGCAGTGTCTTTGAGAGTATGTGATTCAGAAAAGCTGTGAATGAAGGGAGAATAAAGAAACGGGTTAAGGAGAATTCCATCTCCCTCTTCCCGATTTTAGATTCTGATTCTTTCTAGCAAAGAAGAAAAAGGTGTAACTGAAAACAGAGAAAAGGGGAAAACATTCTCCTTCTAGTCAAGCACACCTTCTGGAAACTTTATGCATTCATGTTCAATCAAGTTGTTGGTTTGTTAGCAACCACACAGATTTTCTCCAAGAAGATCTAACCCTAACTTGTCCTTTCAGGTCTCCCAATGGTGCAGTTGTTGCCACTGTAACCAAGTCTATCTATACAAATGTTTGGCAACCATACAGAAGAGATTTGTCCCTGCTATCTTTTAGATTTTTTTGTTTTTTACTTCCCAACATTGTAGCCCAGAAATCTCCTTCCAAGTGTAATAATGCCAGACCCTACTTAGTACTATATAGAATGCACTGTTACAACATATTGTGATGGTCACCAGTTTTAAAAGATCAGGCAAATATATGAAAGATAATATTGTAATAGCTGGTATTAGTCATAATAGCTATACAGTATATTATTTCCAATTTCCAGAGTAGCGTTCTTATTTCTCAAAATCTGTTTCGGGCAAAGGAAACTAAGGTGAGTGCCATTTGTTGCCATTATATTGTCCTGATACAAGATATACAAGTTATCTGGTTGCCCATCTTGAAAACAGTGTGTTAAACAAGATGGGTAGAGCTAAGCAGAACTCCCAATTCCCAAAATGCCTTTCTTGTTCCACAAAAAAACAAAGCTCAGAGTAGCTTCTTTGTGGCTTTCCTGAGATCTTCTGTGTTTGATGTATCAAAATTCACACTAAACCTTTGAGGGACTGGAGCTGTCTTGGTTCTGGATTCAGAACAGCCAGAAAGGAACTTGAAGAAGAATTTGTGAAGAAAGCATATCACTGGATGTGCTGCTCAGTCCTACTTTGCTTCTCCTATGACTCTTTAATTCAAGCGACTAAGAGAGCTCCTCCCCACAAGCCTCAGGAACATTGTTCTTCCTTAATATTAATAACTATTACACAGGTGGTCCTCAACTTACAACAGTTCACTTAGTGATAATTCAAAGTTACAACGGCACTGAAAAAAGTGGCTTGTGACCGTTTTTCATACTTAACGACCACTGCAGCATCCACTACAATGTGATTCAAATTCATACGCTTGGCCACTGACTCACATTTATGATGATTGCAGTGTCCTGGGGTCACATGACCCCTTTTGTGATGTTCTTATAAGCAAAGTCAATGGGGAAACCAGATTCACTTAACAACAGTGTCATTAACAACTGCAGTATTCACTTAACAATTGTACCAAGAAAGGTCATAAAATGGGGCAAATTTACTTCACAAATGTTTCACTTATTATGGTCATAAGTCAAGGACTACCTGTACTGTATAAAGGGATGATTTAAAGTATTGCCTTGAGTAATAACAGCATACTTCTCTTCACTCTTTCTTTTTTAGGTGACAATATTGAAAGTGACTTTTAACCCCAATCCTATGAATCAATGCAGAGAATCCTGTAACCAAACCCAAAGTACAGAACAGCAGCCAGAATGCAATTTCTCCTTAACCCATATCCGCTTGGCTTCACTGAATCAGATCCTGGACCCCTGGGTTTACTTGCTACTTAGGAAGATCTTCGTGCAGAAGTTTTGTCAGGTAGCCCGCGCCATTTCATGCCACTCTCAGGACAAATGGAAAGGGCAACATATCATTTTATCCAACAAAATCAGACGGACAACAGTTTGAAACAACTTTATGTCGGTACTTTCTTTTAGATCTAGTGTTTTCCTTACTGTGAATCTGGACATCCAGCACATGTCCATTTGTGTCTGTAAATTAACTGTGGGGAAGTTAAAGTTAAGTGGAGTTTTTTTTTAATTCACTAATTTAAAAATATCAAAGCAGGGCTAAACCTGATTAGACTAGGGTTTTAAAAAATAGCAGAAGGTGGCAGTGGCAAAATCAGTTCTCAAATGCTGCCCAGAAAATTATGTGTCCATCACCAGCAATTAAAATAATTCTGTCAATCAACATTACATTTTTGAACATGCTGGCGGAAGAACTATGAATAGAAATAGTCTATTGTGATATCAGGAGGCATCAGGGAATAATCATGTTTTCTGGGTCTGAAAAATATGGCCCAGGATCTGTGTAATATTGCAAATGTGTCAAATTTTATATTTAGTAAAAACTTGCCAAATTTGAGAAAGTCTTCTGTTGAGGATCTGATTGGGAATGTGACTGATTCCCACATTGCACTAAGTCAATATGTGATTTTGGGGGGGGGGGAATGTTGGTTTAGCATATTGTAAGAACCCAGTTGAAAGAAATACGTTAAACCAACCAAATTTTAGTGTGTTGTGAATCTATTTTAAGATACCATTATATTTACATATTGCTGACTTCCAAAAAGAGATTGTCCTGATATAGTTGTTTATCTGCAGTAGTGCAGATTGTTTTCTCAATAATTGAATTAAATTGCCCACTGATTTTGTATGCCTATTGACTGTATTGGATCACTTGGTTCACATTAAAACAGTCAAATTAATGTTCTACTGAAATCAGTGTAAAAGTACTAAGGCTAAAATCTCAGTGATTTAAATAAGGTTTGTATCTTGAATCCATATTACATATGTATTAATATATGTGTGTATTTTTTTATTAGCTACTGTATAATTAGTATAGGATTATGATGTAGTTAAAATATTTCATGTGATGTTTTAAACCAATATTAATTTGGCAAATTAAATACAATTTTCATTGGACATGCATAATTATATATATAAGATAGTTTAACTAATCCATTAGTTAAAATATGGATTAATCAGACTTTCTGTATGTGACATCTTCCAATCCTATTGAACTCCATTCACCCTTAGACAATACAATTTGTGGGCAGATGGTCAAATATTGCGGTAGTTATAATCTAAAACTTAGGTGCGCTTAGAGAAATCTACATTGCATAATACATAGATGTTGGCATTACTCATGGACTTCATGGAATTTAGTACTTCATAGACAAGTCAGCAGGTACATAGAGATAAACAACATTTACATATCATTCAAAAGAGATAATTAAAAGATAAAAAGGAAACAAAAAAAGCAGAAAGCCTCCTGGCCAGCAATCAATACCCAGACAAGCAGAGATTAATAGCTGGATTAACCCCAGACAAACAAGCAGTAACCAAAACCCTAATCAAAGAACTACCAGTTCAGAGAATCAAGCAGTAAACAACAGCCCAATCAAGGAACTACCAGGGAGAAAACATCACCCCCACCAACATTGACAGGGCAAGCTACCATATATATACATAAACAGAGAGCAAACCAGCTCCCTTCCAGCAATGAAAACATTACCTAGCCAGGTAATGAAACGTCTGAATGAAAACAACCAAACTCAGGGAGCACTAAGGACTCCACAACCAAATTAGTTCCAATCAAATTATTTCAATTCCCTCAGCTGAATAAAATATTTAATAACATATATGTAGGATCACCGAAGTTAGACCAAATACTACTTAACCTTTTTTTAATGGTACCTACAAGGTCTGGTTATTCTTTTCATCCAAGCAGCATCATGATTTTTTAAAAATTTTCTCAGGTTTTCTTCTTATTAACTTATTCTGTTCAGCTATTTTACTATTATATTTCTTAAGTACCCAAGAACTGCTAAAAAAAGAAAAAGAGAATATAACCAATTTTTTAAATAACCAAAATATATTAACAGTACTTTTCTATAATTAATTGTAAAACTAATTTATCTAAACATTTATTTTTCTTCTGTTTCTACCTTTCTATGTTGACTTTATTTTTAGGAAAGTAATTTTTAAAAACGTCAGAAACCAATGTGAAACTATGTTCACATTATGAACAAACATATTTATGTAGTCACCAAGATTCAAACCTGATTTGAAGCAGATACTATCTTGGTACCACAAACATTTGTTAATACACACTTGTAGAGGCATTTTAGAAAACCGTTATATTTCCAGTTTAGTGACATATTTTGATTTCCCCTTCATAATAGAAAAGGTCTAGAAGTTTATTGCCAATTTTGAACTTGCTTGTTTCTCTTGCTGAAAAAAGGTAGGGAATCTTCACACAAAAGTTGTAAACACTTTCCAATTAATCCTGTTTTTCAAACCATGATTTAGGTCTCCTAGGAAAATTCCTTTCAGAGAAACACAGTACTGGGGGAGGCTTACTCTGCGAACTGAAGAACAAATCTTAATCATCGTCCCAGAGTTACACAATTCTAAATTAATGCCAGTTGAGGTTTCAAGTAAACACATACTATTCTTGTCACAAGAAGAAATCAATTTGAAATAATAAATGAGAAAGTTCTGGAGGCTGTCAGGGATATTGTGCAGAATGTGGAGTTATATCTTCCTAAGTCTATTCAAGGCCAATCATCTCTTCAAAAATAAGTTATCTCAGCTGTTAGACACTAGCAGGCAGCTTATTCCTTTGTGTATTCATAAGGTGCATATGAAGCAAATCTCATATGGAATATGACACAATTTGTATTGGGAGTTTGTCTGTATTTATATTGGTGTATGTGTACAACTTTTGACACATTTGCACAGATAAATGAGGGTATGTGAGTGAAATTGTGGTTGTATTGTAAAATTAGAAGAAAGACTTGGGAAGAACAGTTACATTTATTTGGCTAAGAGTGGAGTACTGGATACTGATAGTTGATAGAATTGTAGCCAAAATGAGGCAAATAAGTTGCCAACAAGTTTGGGCAACTTTGCAAAAACGTTTTTAAAATACCCCTAAAATATCATTAAAATCTGAACAAGCTCAAATAAGGATGAAACTTAGAATATATCAGTAATCACAAAATGAAGAAAAACAGCTGGAAGAGTAAATGGATAGGGGAGAACATAATGGAAATATATTTAGTTGGAATAGCTGATGGGGGTTTTTTTGCCCTTGGTCATTCTGTTTCTCTTTTTTATGTCAGGAAATATCTTTGAAATGATGACCTAACAGATCATGGATTGTCTAGGAAAATCTAGCATTTATTAAAAGTTATTGTTATCTTTCAATGTAAGTTTTCAGAGGACACTTAGCTTTGTATGTTATGTATGTGATTGTAAACCAAGTTTCATTTCTCTTTTTGTATTCATTAAAAGCATATGTCCAGTCCCTTGTGCACAAAAATTACCACTCCCCCCATTTACTAGCCTCTTTTTAAATGTATGACATTTTAAAATATATTCAAAGGCTGAGTTCACATAATTGGCTAAAATATGCTGTGTGATTTATGATTTAGCATTCATAGGAATCTAGTTATTTACTTTAGCAAGTTGTAGGAACCACATCATTTTAAGCTAAAATATGTTTCCCTTAGACAAAATGTGTTATATGTTTGCAGCTATTTTATTTTGTTAATCTAGGTTTGGAGGGTTTACAAAGGTGTGTGAACCCAACCAAAAAGAAAACCATCCATCCAGGAGAATACACTCTGTTTGTCCTTGATACTGGTCTATGTTGCTATGTACAGCAGTACTTTAGTTAATGGCAATCATGTTTATTATATTCTTTATTATTGTTGCAAAGAGAAACAAGTATGTAGATTTTATTGCACAAGTCTGTTTTGAACCTATTGCCAACATATAGAATTTTGAGAACTTAATTGTAAATAATAGATTTTTGGAATTCCATTCACCAGATATAATTTTTAAAATTGCTGCTTTTTAAGAAAGAACTATTTTTTTTATTTCACTTGGAGTTTGGTTTTTAATGTGCTTGCATGAAATCTGTTGAGTTGCTGTTTTTATTTAATGGTTTACAGTGTCAGTTTGTTGCATTAGATGTATTTTAACGTTTTATATATTTAAACTGACTTATGAAAGCAATGTGTCCATGAAAGAAATATATTTAATAAACAGACCTGTGAATGAAAAAACTAATTATCTGTGATTAATTATGTGGTATGGCATTCTTCTTTTTAGAAATGCACAGGTAAGTATATGAGTAAGTATAGTATACAGTATACTATAATATAGAAAAGGCATAGTCACGATATATTAATGCTTGTGAAAGCTTTATTTCTCATCTTTGAAAATTCCATTCTAAGTATTTTTCTATGGAAAATGCCACCCTGGCATGGGAAAATCCTCCTCTGTTGATAGGGAGATTGGAGAAATGAAATCATTGTATATATAAAGGTTGTGAGCTTTACAGAAATGCTGAAGGACAGCTGTTATTGGCATATGCCAATGTGGACCTTTCCTCCTTCAATGTATCTCTCAACTCTCTTAAGGATTTTTAAGGTTTCAGAACTTAAGAATCCTCTAAACAAATAATAAATGTATTTCCATAACAGATGACATGCATTAATACCTATGAGAGACTCTACCTACAGTATGTCCCTAAAGTACCTTTCTGATGGGAAATATTGAAATAGCACTAGTCTATACATGACGATCACATTTGCTATGAAAGTAAGGAACTATCATTTGGAAAAGTAATGGATTGTTTTTATATTTAGTCATACTGAAAGGAAATTTGCTGAAAACAAATTGGTTATGATTTATTGAAATTTCATTATATAAACCTATAAACCTATGCACATTTACATCTAGAATCAGCAGTGATTTTACTAAGAATATGCAATATAATCAAATTATTACTTTACTGAGAATATGCAATAGACTAATCAACCTATTGCTTTACTCAGTCAAAGTCCAACATTTTTTTCTCAATTTCCCTCATATCAATTTATTACAGCCATTAGACCAGATGCAATAAAACATCAAATAGTAGACTAGTTACATATATTTATATATAAAACAGAAAAATAATACTAGGTTCTAAAATAAGAACATATAAAACAGAATAAAAGTAGTATTATTAAGTGATGAATAAATTAGAATCCAGACTTTATTTTTGACATACCAGATAATTAATGCTACATTTCCATTACCTAATGCCTTCTAGATTGGAAGAAAAGAGTTATGCCCTCCAGCAAGCATGATCTATGTTAGCTAGGGTTATGGAAGTAGCAGTTTAGAATATCTGCAGGTCATCAGACTGGGAAAGGCTGGATTACAGGAATTCTTTAATTGTTAACATTTCTATCTTTATCTCCTCCGTAAGCAACATCAAATGAAAAAATAAACCACAGGAAATTGTAACATTGCCTAACTGGTATTGATTGATGCCACAAAAAAACACATTATACAGCCGACTTCCTTTGGCAACTTACAGCATAGGCCAAATGAATTTTTTTTTTTTACATTTGGCTACCATGTATGGAAATTGCATTTGTTATTGGATCAACATGGGAGCTAAGGCCTGAAAGAATGGCCCAAGTTCTTGGGATGTTTCTTTCTGGTGCTCCATCTGAGGAGGACTAAAGGTAGGACTATAATACAGATGAGGAACTGAACACCAGATTCTTTTCCTCTTATACTAGAAACCTTGCTAGGTTTCTTTTCATCACCCAACATATCCCTTTCAGATTTAATTGATTATTACTTTTAAAAGTTTACTTCTATTTTTGCAGCTCAAAAGTGTTTTTTTTTAAAAAAAAAAAACCACCAATGTTGATATTATCAACATTCCTCTATTTATGTATCAATCAAATGTCACTGTATATTACTGTATTCATCAAGACTCTCAATGGCTCACAAGACAAAGTCATACAAAGAAGCTTAAAAATAAGGCAAATAAAATCAGCTACCTAAAAGCCCTCCAGAAAAGTTTTGCCTTTGTTAAGGACAGATGTACAATACTTCCAGCTTGTAGACCTTCTGACCATCCGAAAATGGAAAACAACCAATTGCTTATCCCAACATGATCAAAGTGGTCATTCCAACTCTAAGAAAATGCAATCTTACAAGTGATCAGTTGCCAAGCCATAAAGAGATTTGTAAGTTAAGACCAGTATTCTAAATTGCACTTGGAAGCTAATAGGCAATCAATGCTAGCCCCACAGAACAGGTTCATATCTATAAGCACTCAGGCCATTGCAAATTGCACCAGCTGAAATTTCTGAGACCAGGATCTTGGCCAAGCTGCCCACCAGGTCCTTAGGAAACTCCTTAGGGGCCTTCTGAAAACCATCGGACTTCATTAGGTCAACAAAATGTAAGATATAGTTGCATGTCAAACTTAAATCTACCAATATTTTTATTTTATCTAACCAATGGATGTAAACTTTGCTCAAAACTAAAGATTGACTGATTTGGTTGCTAAACTGATAGATGCAGTGCAGTTTATAATATTATCTCTGTATTGATTTCAACTCAACTTCCTGCTGACAGAGTATCAAGACTTCTGAACTGAGTATAACAATTGTAGAAGAGTCAGTTTAAAGATACCCTTAAATGAGGAGAAGAATGATTAATTTTATTGCATTTCATGTTCTTTATTTCCAAGGAAGACCTGTTTATGTAGCAAGAGTATTCCTTGGGCATGCACTCAACTCTGGAGCCCATAGGTAAGTCTCAATATGCCCTATATTTGGATAGAATTTTATAGGTTAAACATGCTTATACACATAAGCATGTCATATCAGATTATACACACCCAACATGCTTCTCCATTATCAGGAGTCCCCAAATCCTGGGCCATGGACCGGTACTGGTCTATGGGCTGTTAGGAACTGGGCCGCACAGCTGGAGGTGAGCAGTGGGCAAGCGTATGAATCTTCACTATATTTGCATCCACTCCCCAGCACTAACATCACCATCTCAGTTCCACCTCAACTCATCAAGCATTAGATTCTCATAGGAGCACAAATCTTACTGTAAACTGCATGTGCAGGGATCTAGATTGGGTGCTCCTCTTGCTCCTCCAGTCTGTTGAAAAACTGTCTTCCATGAATCATTTCTTGTCCATAGCAACTATAATAGTAGTTGCTACTATTATAGTTGCTATGGACAAGAAATGATTTTCAGCCTTGTAAATTCAGTGATGACTTTTCATTGCTTTTATCAATGTTTTTGAATAGGCTACTCCCAAGCATCTCAAAATCAGCTATTTCTCCTCCCAATGATAGGATTTGGATCAACATCAAATGAACTTTTAATCCTAAATGACACAAAGAAGATTATTACCTGATTTTTTTCCCAAATATTATTTTATAAAGAATTCCCTTATATTCCCTTGCTTAGCACATGCCACATAAAACTTAAAACAATGCATTTTGATTGTCCCTTTAGACAGACATAACAATTGGATGTTTCTAATCTCTCCAGAATATGAAAATTTAAGGTGTCAACAAAAGCCAGAATTTTTTTGTCTCTTTCAATGGCATTCAAGCCATTATAGACTTGTTGCATTAACTGCCTAATTCTTGGAAAAACTGTTCCTATAAAGTAACTCTAATTAATGTTCACCGAAGCTAGGAATCTCCACCTGAATTCCATTGTTTCGCACAGACCACTTATCTGGGTGCTTTAAACCCCTGAAGGAGAAAGATAAATCAAATTGCTAAAGAATGCAAATATACATTCACATTCTAAATTATAGTTTATATTAGTTTATTAAATTATAGTTTATATTAGGGTACCTCTGCAGAAGAGATTTATGGCAGTTGAGAAGCAGTCTCAGACCCCAAATTATGATGATGAATAATTTAGACTCCTATGCTTGTATGTAGAACAAAGCTAATATTTTCCTCTTTGGCTCTGGAGACTTTATAGGCTGTTTGTTTTTCCCTGTTGAGGAGAGCTTTTGCCCCAGAATGCAAGGCAATTTTTACTTCCACATTAGTCTCCCCAATGCAGAGACTTGCTATTGATGCCTATGGCGTAATTCAGAATGTGTCTTTCCCACATTTCAGCCAAAAAAATCAGGCTATTGGGGAAAGTACTGTCCAAATGTGAACATATTATTATTTCACTATCACAGTTTGCAGTCAGAAGGAATGGTGTGTTTGCAGCCAGAAAGTTTCCCTTGTTGCAATTCTCTCCTTCCCCTTTCCAATGGTCCAAACGTGTGCAGCCAGCGTGTAGTGCAGTTATGGAGGTGTTAGCTATTTTATGGCCCTTTTGTAGACTGGAGAGGTGACAGGATTTGTATCACTTCAGGAATGGTGGTAATTGGGGAAAGATGCTGGCCAAATGATATTGTTTTCCTTTTGATGATTTGGAGGGAATATTGATTGGCTCAGCGTGTTCCCTATGTGTTTTGAAATTTTCAAAAATATGGCTTTGTGAGAGACTGGAGAGTGAAAACAGTGCGTGGTATAAAATAAGACCGAAGGTAAAGTTCTGCTTCTTTGATAATATTAAATGAAATCCAGCAAGATGTTATAACTGGCACACATTTGAAACTATAAGAATAGAAGCCAAACAGAAAATGTTCTGACACATAAGATCTTATTGGAAAATTGAGCTCAAATGTCCTGCCTGAAATTTGTCACAATAAATTTTAAAACTACTTTTTATTAAAAGTTTTATAAATTTATTACAACATAAACCCCCCACCCCTTCCCCCCCTCCCCCACTTCCCAGAGCTGATTACAGGGTAAAACAAAATAACAAATATAATCCAACTAACATAAACCAACTATACTATCAATGAAAACCATATAAGACACTTTAACTCCTTCTCAATACAAATATTAACAAATTAAGTTAAAAATAATAATATAATTAAACTATTAATAATTATCTAAAATATACTCAAAAGCAAGATAATACTTTTCAACTTCATATTTCTTCTGAATATAATCAATCCATCTTCTCCAAACCATAATATATCTTTCTTGTGAATGGTCCTTCAAATAGGCAGAGATCTTCGCCATATCTGCTAAATTAGACCCTTTAAGTATCCATTCTTCCAAAGTAGGCAACAAATTTTTCTTCCAATATTGCCCCACCAATAAACTTGCAGCTGTTATAAGGTTCAACATCAAATTAGTTTCTTTAACATCAAAATCTACAGTAATACAGT